TTCAAACTCACCAACTGCTCCTCAGAAAACCTACACAGAGTCGCTATGAGTCAGAACTGATTCAGTGGCACTTAACAACAACAACCAATGAGTGGTGATTGGGGTCTTAAAAGCTTGTGAGCAGCTGTCTAAAGATGCAACTTTGCTCTCACCCTGTCTGGAGCAAAGATTGAAGAAAATCAAATTCACATGGGAACAATTAGTCTAAAGTACTAATGGACCACAAGAACCTTAATCTCCATGACCCAGAGATGGGAACTTGATGGTATCTGGCTACCACTGCTGACTGACTGCTCTGATTAACTTCACCACGATAGAAGGTCCTAGATAGGGTGGGAGAAAAACGTGGGACAAAATTTCAACATCATAAAAAAGACCAAACTTATTGATTTATTAGAGTTAGGTGGAACTCCTGAGTCTGTGGCTCTTAGATACCCAAGTCTGGATTGATTCACCCCTGTAGATGAACTTTCAGCCAAACAACAGATGGGCCTAAAGTGAACAGAAATACCAGTGGGGAAGCACTTCTTTAGACCAAAAACAAATCTCAAACAGCAGGAGGGGTCAGTACAAAAGAGAGAATGAAGACCTGGAGCAAAGGGAAGGAGTGGAGCGGGAAGAGTGCTTCCACTGAATAGCAGTCAGTGCCACAAAGCAAAATGTGCAGAAGTTGTTGATAGAAACCTACTTTTCTCTGTAAATGTTTACCCAAATCACAATAAAAAGCTTTTAAAAAACAATAAACTTTCAAATAATGTTCTTTGTAAGTCTGTAGCATTTTTTTTTTTTCTTCTGAAGTTAATTAAAGTTTAAAACTGCAATAAGACTTTGATAGAGTCCCTGGGTGGTACAGTTAAAGGGTGTGGCTACTAACTGAAAGGTTGGAGACTCAAGTCTACAAAAGTGTCTCAGATGAAAGGACTGGTAGTCTAATTCGAAAAGAAAAATTAGCTATTGAAAACTCTACGGAACGAGTTCCAAGATACACATGGAGTCATCATGGGTTGGAAATCAACTCAACAGCAACCAGTAATGACTTTTATTGTTGTCAACTGCTGTCGAGTTAGTTCTGACTCATAGCGACCCTGTATAGCGTTTCCAACAAGCCACTGGTGAGTTTGAACCACCAACCCTGCAGATTAAGCCATTCTTGCAATCTACTGCTTATCTTACAGCTCCATACCAGGACTCCAGTGACTTTTGGCACACTCTATATATTTTATGGAGTCCTGATGTGGCCTT